CCCCCCCATGTTGTGTGTCAGTGGACGTTCAGTCACATGTGGATGATCTGATCTATGAGGAACCGAGTTCACACTCAGTCTTAAATAAATATAAAACACTTCAGTGATGGAGGACTCACTTCCGGACGGAGTGAGGACGTGACGGTGTCTTCACTCATTTCTCTCGTGTGCCGCGTCCTGCCCTGAGCCTCCAGCAGGGGGCGCAGTGGCTGAGTGCTGCGCTTCCTTAAACGCAGACCAGTGGATTGGAGGAACACACCCAGTGACATCAGGAGGTCCGGAGGAGTCTCACTCAGCAGCAGCAACCGGAGCCGCGAGGACCCGTTCTGTCCCGGTCTGTCCCGGTCTGTCCCGGTCTGTCCCGTCCACACGCCGTCAGGGTTCCGAGCGACGCGCAGCGAGGACGCGCAGAGACGCAGGAGGATGTCAGCTTCAGAGGAGACGGACGGGCTCCGGCCCAGATACGGCTGTAAGTTCACTTCTCCCCCCCACTCTCCGGGTGCACTTCTGTCCACACAGGACGATCCGGATCAGAAGCTGAGCTCTGATCCGGATCGTCCTGACGAGCCACAAGTGCAGAAAAGTTTAGAAAAGTTTGGAAAGTTTAAAAAAGTTGAGAAAAGTTGAGATGTGAGACAGCACGAGTCCACCTCATTATGACTTCCGCCTTTTCTACCAGAGACTGAGAGGAGGAGGAAGAGGCCTGACACACTTACATTTCAGATTTCAACAAAACTTGATTCTGTTGGAAAGAAGAAGAACTTTGTTCAAATTCATTTGATCAAAGTGAGTTCAGATCAGGTTTGACCTGCTGCTGAGCCGCTCTCACACAGGAGCAGAGACTGGGATCGAACCTGTGACATCTGATGGAAATCACCTGCTTTGTGTTTTCAGTGAAACTGTGTCCTCAACAGACAACGAGCTGCTGCGTTCACTTTACATTTCATAAAGATATGAAGAGACATCACCTGCATCAAGACACAGAGAGACAAGGAGAGACAGACAGAGGGAGAGACAAAGAGACAGACAGAGACAAGGAGNATAAAGATATGAAGAGACATCACCTGCATCAAGACACAGAGAGACAAGGAGAGACAGACAGAGGGAGAGACAAAGAGACAGACAGAGACAAGGAGAGAGAGAGAGAGACAGACAGAGAGAGACAGACAGAGAGAGACAGACAGAGAGACAGAGAGACAGAGACAGAGAGACAAAGAGCTGCTGCGTTCACTTTACATTTTATAAAGATATGAAGAGACATCGCCTGCATCAAGAGACAGAGAGACAAGAAGACAGACAGACAGACAGAGAGAGAGAGAGACAGACAGACAGAGAGAGAGAGACAGAGACAAGGAGAGACAGAGAGAGAGAGACAGACATACAGAGAGAGACAGAGAGACAGACAGACAGACAGACAGAGAGACAAAGAGCTGTTGCGTTCACTTTACATTTTATAAAGATATGAAGAGACATCGCCTGCATCAAGAGACAGAGAGACAAGAAGACAGACAGAGACAGTCTCTCTTGGTAGAAATTAAAATACATCAGCTCTTGTTTCCGCTGATTCTCTGCAACTTGATGCAGAGTTTTTCTTGGACAATTTAGTCAAAGTGTCTCTGGTTTGTCTCCAGCTGTCCTGGACGCTGTGGAGAGGCTCACGGCCGAGGAGATGGACGAGCAGCGGCAGCAGAACATGGCCTACGAGTACCTGTGTCACCTGGAGGAGGCCAAGAGGTGAGAGGCTCTCATTGGTGTGTGTGTGTGCATGCGTGGAGTTGCCGCACTCTCTGATTCAAAAGAGGAAGGAGTGAGTGGGACAGGAAGTGACTCAGTCCTTTTGATTGTAGAATCCTACTGTTGCTACAGAAACCCACAGTTGTCATAGCAACAGGTTCCGGTGTGCGTCCTCTGGTTTGTTTATTGGTTTAAGCTCTGATGAAGTAACGTTTGTATGTTTGTCACCACACGTCCTTGTCTGCTCTGGTTATCTGTGATGTTGAGAGGATTCACAGTCTGTCCTCCAGCAGACATGTCTCCCTGTGCTGCCAGAGACACTTTCAGAGACAGAGTCTGGAACTTTGTGTCCCACTGAGTTTGAGTAAATCAGCTATTACAGAAAAATCTACAACATTCTTCAAGTCAACCAAAATGAAAACCTGCAGCAGAGTCAGTGCGACTGTTGGTCCTGATGTCATCCTGATGTCTGACCTCCTCCTGATGTCTGGCGTCCTCCTGATGTCTGGCGTCCTGACCACGGTCCTGACCACGGTCCTGACCACGGTCCTGACCACGGTCCTGACGTCCGGCTGCCGTCCCACGCTGCCTCTGCAGGTGTGTGTTGTGTTAGGTTGGCTGAGCACCATGTGGGGGACAGTGCAGCCTGCAGGGCGTTTTGGGGGAGGTGTGTTGTGTTGTGTTGTGTGTGTTGTTGGAATGACGGGAATGTGTGTGACAGGTGTGCACAGGGTGTGAGTGTGTCCCTGTGCGTCTTGCAGCTGCAGGAATGTTGTGTCCCTGTCACATGTGTTTGATCGTAGAAAGTCATTCTGGACTTTGAAGTTTGAGATGCAAACAACGTTATCGTCTGATTTGCATGTTACTGCTGCGCACGTTATCCTGACATATTAAAATGGACAGTGACACAGAGGACACATCACGTCCTACATGTTGTCTCTTCATTATCCTCTGACTGAAAATAAGATGATTCAGGTTCAGAAACTTGAACCAACAGAAGTTTACATGATAAATGACTGTGTGGAGGTGGTTCACAGACAGACAGTGGACACACAGTGGACACACAGTGGACAGACAGACAGTGGACGGACACACAGTGGACA